AGTTAGTGCATTTTATAATTAAAAACCCGGTTCCCCGCGTTGGAAATGGGGCAAACACATGTTCTGTGTGTAAAGGCAAACCAACTATTATTTCCCCGGATGCGAAACCCAGGACCTCTCGCTCTTAACCACTAATCTATAGAGACGGTCGTTAACATTACACAATAGCTTATATTTATGGATAGAAATCATAAACACCGTAGCTTAATAATTGTTGGAATAACATATAGTGATTTATTATTTTTTTATTTTATACACAAAAACAAATTAAAAACAAGTGGTGGTAGCCTTTGAGTCTTTGATAAATTTTAATAACTAATTAATGTTTTTAAACAATAAAAATTTCCAAATAAGTTTAACTAATATATCGGTTTTAAACCGTTAAAGTGTTATTAAGATGTGTACTACCCGCGTAATCTATAGACAGTATTTAAGGTTGTTTTTCTTAGCTGACATTAAGGCCTTATATGATGCGCTGTTGCCTTATTTTTTGTTCTTAATGTTTCAGTTTACTGTTTTCGGTGTTATATCTACCTGTATAATTGTAGCTAACTGTTGGATATCTTTTTCATAGCTATTACGTCTAACGTCGGAAACAGAGCGTCTTTGTTAAAATAAAGCTATTGAATCTAATATGAAATAATCACGGTGTAAGCCTGTTAGTCCGCACCAGGGCGTCACGCGAAATATGCATTAATACCAAATGTATCCCGGAGTAGTTGCTCGCTGGTTGAATTAATTATGCGCTGCTAATATTCCGTAGTGGAAGCCTTTGTAAGTAGTTGGGTAGATTTATAATTAAATTTAAGCGTACTGTTTTTTTTTAATAGGACGAGGTATACTTTATGAAAGGTATATATACCCCAACCATATAACATGTTAAAAATGCGCTATTTTGGCTATGCAATAAGCGTGAGGGGTCCTGGATTCAAGTCCCTGCAAAACGTAATTGTTTCTAAACTGTGACTTGCTAAATACAATTGATCTGTAAAATAGACACAAAAAAGTGTCTGCCCCATGTTCCACATGGAGCTAACGGGACTGCATACCTGTACGTATGTATACCTAGTATAACGTATTGTACACTAAGCAGCTATGTATAAGCTATTTTCAATTTTTATCAAAAGAATTTTAAATTAATGGGACACTTATATGAAGGCCTAATATCATGTGGTATGGTTGGCTTATTTTTAATATTAAATTAAAATAAGGGCACAAATAAACATTCCTTAATATTGAGCTCAATATTAATAACCAATGTATACTGAACAGCTGTTCGAATATTACATTTTGACATTCCCCGTATAGGCAGACATTTTATTCTGAGTTTGAAAATTGTCTTTTTGATTATACAAGAACAGGACACAAACTCACAAGAACTGCTTTAGCTCAAACGAAAGAGCTATTGGAATACTCTATCGTTTGAGCTAAATGGTCAGCGATCATTGAATTATTATCTTAACCTTTAAAACGTACAAACTTTTATTTATATACTTAAAAAAAATAACAGTAAACGTTATTAATTATTAAAAACACTTTGCCGTACTGCATCCAAACGTCGGTTCACGTGTTTTATTTAATTTTACGCGTTATCTAAACAAAATGAATACAAGCCCTCGTAGGCAAAAGCTTGATTCCAAATATATAAACTAAGTAACATTCGTATTTACTTCATGCAATATATTTTTTAGCGTCGTTACTAGAAAAAAAAACTATGAAATAAATCTAGGAAACTATATATTTAAGTTAAAGTGTTGCTAAACAATGCAATTCGCTTGTGAGAAGTTTACTCTCAACTCTAAAACAGATCAAAGACACCTGCATGTAGTTTGAAGAACATTCAACTTTGTTAAGTAAATACTTTAATTTGTTCTTCCTCGAGATTACTTGATATATATAAACTTAACTCGAAGTTAGCGTTGCGTCATAAACAGGACATATTATGAATTGAATATATATTTGAGCTACTAAACTACAGCGCTCCGTGCTGAGCTCTAGCTATATTTGTCATGTTAAATACAGACTAACCTTTATACTAATATTAAAAAGCTGAAAAGTTTGTCTGATTGTGCTAATTTTAAAAAGTACTGGTTCGAATCGAAAAAATCCTTACGATATAAAGCAGATTGAAGCATTTGTTCGAAGGCTCTAGGCTAAAACATCAGGCGACGATCATGGGCGAAAAAACAATAGGAAATGTGAATAAAACGAGAAAATTTTCCTTTGAGGTATTCTGTTGGGAAAAAATATGTAGGTATATAACAATATTATTTTTCTTTAATCATCTATTTTTTTTAAAGATTCTTTCATAATATCCACAACGGTATATGTCTATATTTTAAGTTTTACTCAATATAACCATTTTTACGGTAATGAATTTTTGTTAGAAATATGACACAAAAATGTATGACAAGTCAGCAAGTTTTTTAATAACACGATCACGAGCTATGTAATACTAAGCTATGGAAAATATGAACAAGCAAAATTAACTAGCTATTATAAATAAAACCTTTACAAAGTAACTCGCATAAAATCCTATCTATCTTTTGTTGCGTTCAAGTATGGTTTAATGCTATTATCGTTCAGGAATGATCCTCGCAACAAAAGGCATTAATAGAGTCCTTACAATAAACGGGAACTAACGTAAACGACGAAGAAAAATACCTGCAGGCCAGCTATCAAAGTGGGGATCCGTAGTGCACACATGTGGGAGATGGTTGTGATGTGCCAGGGACGTATCGCCGTTTCATGGGGCCTCAAATTTACAAAAAACTTATCTATTTTTAGAAAACATTAATATTTTCATATGTTATTGCACATAATGGCATTATAGGTTATACATTAAAATCAATTATAGAATGAAAATGTTGCTCTAACCAACTTGGCATGGTAGCTCAATTTGAATCTAAAATAGAACTACCAAGCAATTTTAATAAACTTTTTTATCTCCATATTTCTTAATCACCTACGACAATTTTATCTTTTATTAACTTGTTAATTAGATTTAATTATCCTTTTAATATTGTATGTACTAGCTTATCAAGAGGATAGTCGGTTTAAAAAAATATATTAAACGCTATAACCCAAGTAATAGCTAAATGTAGCCACTGTTAAACTACGATATTTGAAATAATAATAAATAACTGCAATATTGTGTAAACGTCATCTTTGCAGGCACAAAAATAAGAACAGTTTAGCGTTAAAAGTTGCCATATTAAGCATTTAATGAGGCCCCGTGCGGGGCTTCTAAACGTGCAGTGCCTTAAAATTAGCCTCTGTTTTTCACATGAGCGGCCAGTTAGCATTCAGAAAGACGCCGCAGGCGAGTGCGATAACATCGTCACAGTTCATGACGAATGGGTCATACCGCCTGAATGGACTGGGTAAATAGGTCGTAGTCTCTTTCTACACTCGCATCTGTCATCACCGTAAACAAATAAGACGGTTTATAATTGCGTTACTTAATATTCATGAAAGTTTAAACTAATGAATAGAGCAATTGTACATCGTGAATTCTTATATCGAATTTATGTTTTAAATTTTATAAATGTTAATGTTTTTACGTATATAATATATAATTAAGTAGTGTAATTGGTTACTGTATCGTACTAATTAATAAATGAAATAACAGTTATTTCATTATAGTACTATGCCCATAACGTTCTACAGTCGAAACTTGGGAGGCCTTGAATCCCGGGTACACTTTTAGTAATTTCGGTAGGGCAGGCTAAGCAAAAGAAGGGGATAAAATGACACAGGAGAGCGCAATGGACACAGAAATATGTCTCCTATCTACTTAATAGCTAAAAATATCAAAGCGCTGTCTAACAGACGAGCATACCTGTGCTGCAACTTATGCTGAGGCTAGACTCTTTTGACATCACCATTCTTCAAATTAAATTTAATCTTTTTGTATTAATTATTTTATAGCAATTACATTTATTTATTTTTAAAATTGTATTAAATGATTTCCAAATAAATAAATTTACGATTAGTAATATTAAAGCTATAGGTTTATAAATAGAATTGTAGTGATTTTAGCTATATGTCAAAAAATCGTTAAGTTTCCATTCTCAATTTTCTGACTCCACAAAATATCGACATAGTTCCTCGCAGGTATCGATATCGCCTGACGTTTTCACCTTTGTAACTGTCACAGATAAAATAGGCATTGTTTTGACGGCGGCCGGCGATGCCTTGAAAACGGAATTGATGGTGAATGGACGGAAAATTTTACGTTTTTATCCACTTCGAAAAGATTTGATCGTGTTATTTTGTTGGACGCGAAACTTTACGCGCATTTATCATTTATATCGGAGAGTTGATGTGAATTATTAATTATCCGTTGAGAGGTAGAATTTTAGACCGTTAAGTAATTAGATTATATTATTATTTAATGCCTGTTAACTATATTATTTTTTGGTCTCCTTGTCCTAATGCATTGAGAATATGGCTTTGAAACCCGGACATATTTTAGTTTCGGTCGGGTAGACCACAAGACTTTCAATATAATTGTTTAAGAATATAAAATTTACAAAGGAAATGAAAGATCTTTATAAATTAAAATTTGAAAAAAAGAATTACGACACGGGCAGGTCCCGAAACGGTATCCTGAGCGTCTCGTCGTGTTGCTCTACATGGTAGCCCAATTGCTCAGAGAAACACCACGGAACGCTGTTAATGCCGGTTCAAATCCTACCCGAGTCGTAATTTTTTCTATTTGTGTGTAATTAAATTTTGAATTTATATAGTGCCATCATGTGCAATAACGTGTGAAAAATATTAAAGTTTTTCAAAGAGCTTTATTCGGTTTCTGAAATATAAAAAAAAAAAAATCTTAAAATACATCTCTACGCCGAACTTTTGGCTGCCTCTATATAAACTTTACCAAAGCTTATATTAAGCCGCTTCGTATTAAAGCAAACTTGTATATCCCACTCTTAATCCTATCGCGAAGTTTGAAATTCATTTTTAGTTTTTCACCTAACATTTCCTTTCAGGTTAAGGCGGCGACGCCGAAAATGGATAGAAACGGTTACTTCTCTTACGTTTCGTCAACGGCGAAGAAAAAGAAGATAAACCTGATGCAGCCACGACCTCCGCGGATGGCTTTTGAGGAGAAGCGTAGACCAGGAGTGGCTGAGAGGGTCGACAGTACGGGCGCGAACGCCGTGGAGTGTAGACGTGTAGAATCTATGACGCAACGGGTTCTGACCGAGGCGCCACGCGCGCGCTTGTTTACGCAACTCGAAAGTTATCAGCCGCGGTATCATACCATACGTGAGAATAGTGAAAGAAAAGTGGAGAGTGAGTGTAAAAAGAGGAGAAATGAACAAAGGAAAGGACACCAGCAGACAGTCAGGTAGTTGTGTTTTGTATTAACATTTCGTGTACAAACAACAACAAAATTAACAAAGTTTATTTTGAATTCGAAATTTAAAAATACGTCCTTTTTTATATTACATATATACACATTTTCTAAGGTTTCCTTAGTAATAGAATTTAATTTTAAATTGATATTGATTATTTAACGCTCTCAATAACAATAAAATTCAACTAAAATAAGTTAAGTAAAATTTGCTACCCTTTTTTTATTAATTAAACAAATAGTTTTCATTGCTTTAATTGAATTCCAAAAATAGGTATTCGTAGTAAGGGTGAGAGTACCTAAGTGTAACGTCCATATCTGTCGTGTTTAACAGCCAAATAAATCTTTAAAATAATATCTAGTTGTGTAATTTAAAAATTGAACGATTTGCTCGGCTTGGCGAAGAGGTTGCCTATCAAAGGTTTTATTTAATATGGCACATGGAAAGCGGTTTAGTGGAGAAAAAAAAACACTTTGATGCTAAAAAAACTATTGTTCTCGTTAGCTGTTGTTCGACAACTTCGGTTTATCGGTTTTAAAGTTCTGAATTTTATAACCTGCTTAGCTTTAATTTCCGCGCTATTACCATTTGTACATCTCTTGCCGGACGCTGTAGTTATGTCCTTATAGTCTCTAATCGTAGGAGAAAATATTAATCTTAATCGCCTATGTCAGGTATGCAAATTCAATTTAACATTTGATTTCTGAATACGTAATTGATTGAACTGTTTCGGTTTTACGATTTGGGATCCCCTTGTAATGAATATTGATGATGACGTGTTAATCGTTGATTGGACGCGTTAAGGGGTTTATTTTGATTGGTTTCATATAAATAATTACAATTATTCTATCCGGTTTTGTTTTATCCGATACAGTGGTGAGTCTAATCGAACTTACTTTAAGATCTCACATTTTTTTAATAATAGCAATTGTTATACATATCGAATAACATACATAATAAGTACATAATTGGATTTTGCATAGAACTCGGCATCGAATCTGATCTTCATTATTTTTACGGCGAAGCCCACATTTAAGTTTTTGTTAGGATTGATATACACCTGGACTTATCCAGCGATATTTGTAATTTATGCTCTGTATTTTAACGTTAAGCACAGTTTTAGCATTATCCTAGTTAGTATCGTAGTAATAATTTAAAAATCGAAAATAAATCGAAAAAGTTTTCGACTCGGGCATGACCTCAACCGGCATCGTCAGCGTTCCGTGCTGTTGCTCTACCAATTGAGCTACCGAGTCATTTTTAAACCGATTCTTAAATTATATAGTGCCTTCATGTGCAAAAACATGTAAAAAAGTAATAAAATTTTCAATCGTAGTAATATTTCAAAATGTTTCTTTTTTTATTAACATTTTACTCTTCACTAAAGAAAATTGTCGATAGCACATCTTGCTTAAATGTTATATGGCTAAAGTATCAAGTAAACATCATCCTTCTATGTCATTGTACTTACATAAAAAAATAAATAAAAGACTCACTTTAAAGAAAGCAATAACAAATTTTGACATAGTGGTTTTATGGCTAATAAAAACTTAAATGCTGTCTACATTTTACGCGAGTAGTACACATTTAAATGAAACACTTTTACGGTTTAAAACGCGACATATTAGTTAAACTTATTCGAAACGTCGGACCGAAGTAAAAAATCACTTTCAAATAAGTTTAACTAATAGGTATATCGCGTTTTAAAATGTTAAAGTATTTATTTAATAATAACTTGTAATGTTTCATTAATAAAAATTTTCCCTTGTTTAACGACGACTTATATACAATTATATGTGTGTGGAATTATATCGCAACGAACATTTTTTATACGAAGGAAAACATCCATACAATACAGACGTATTCATCAATCACGGAAAAGCGTTTGGTTTTCCTCTTCAGAATATATTTTCATAAATTTTTAAACTACAAACTTCAATAGGCTACGTTGTGTGTACTAGTTACATGCATTGTACTTATATATGATTTTTATGTTTTGTTTTTTTTTCTACGTTGTTAAATATATATATCTCCGAATTTCCAAACCGAAAATAGGCCATCAGTGCATCTTGTTTAAATGTCATATGGCTTTCGCCTACCATCAAGTAAACTCCAATCTCGTCTTACACTATCATAAACAATATAATGTATATCTAATTGTATTTAACTTTTAAAATATCTATAAAACTGTTAAGCACATTAATTTTTAACTTTTTTGTGATTCCTGTGCTATACTATTTGCGTAGTGTCTGTAATTCACTCCAAATCTTAGTTGCGACTTTGCAATTGACATTACGTTGCGCACGAGTTGTCGGTTCGAATACTGTACAAAAAAAATGAAATGAAGATAACGGATATTACACTTACAAAAAAAGGTTTCTTACTTATTTATTTTCTACTAGTCTACTAACTATTCTATTTTTATAAGAAGCCTAAATACGTGTGCCGATCGCCAAGGCCTCCTCCAACCAAGACTCAATGTTCTCTCCAATTCTTTCAATTACGTCCTATTTTATCGGGCCTAGTGCATGAATTAGTTCTGTAATATCTTCTTAGTGTTAGTACCTTAAGAGCCGCTATGTATATTTTGAGGTTACTGTTTAGGTCTTCACTTTCATGGTTGCTGATGGTTCGTGGAGGGTTGTGGTCATTTTCCCACACGAGGACCAGTCGGTTTGGGGGAGCTGTGCAAAAATAGCAACAGTAAATTGTTAAGTACACACGCAACGAGTAAAAAAATATCGGTTTTATGGTTCTTTATTCGTTTGTTTTCCAGATAACAAACATGGTTTTTATAAACTTATGTAAATAAGACAAAAATGTTTTTTACATAAGACACACATAACATTTAAATGGGCATACGATACTATAAAACTAAGTATTACTAATATTAAACAAAATACTATATAGATTAATTGTAATGAGTTATATTTTTGACAGTGCGCTTGCGCCTAATATTATAAAGAGGATAATATCTCCATGGTCTAGGAGAGTGGAGTAAACGCAATTTAGTCATACTTAAGTGGTTAGATCAAAGGTAGATCAGTAGGGCCCTTGAGTAATCTTAGACGCCTGGGAGGACTTCTACATATCTACTTATAATCTTATAATTTCCCATTCATCATCATTATCATCATCAGACTCACTTCACTGCGTATCTTATAATTGTAGATAAAATATATTCATTTGAGATCCGTTAATTATTTACATAATTTTTCTTATGTTAATTCGTTTATGTATGGGTAAGAAATAGGAGAAAGTCCCGGTCTGGTCTTAATGCCTTTAAAACAATATTATTTTAATACGTAAGTACGTACACGTTTAAAAAACCTTTTAACGGTTTCAAACACACAATTTTCAAGTAAACTTATGTATAACTATTTAAATTACGGTGCGACGTTCCGGACGCTTAGTAGCAGCCGTCGTCATAGCTTAATACATTACGCGTCTTAAACCGTTAAAAGTGTTTTATTTAAATGCATAATAATTTACAAATTGATTAATAAATTAAAAAAGTATGATTATTTAAATACAAAAAGTCTAAATAGGTCATGACAGCTCTGACAGCTCATCTCATTTATGTGTTTTATGGATCGGTTATTTCGATCAAGTGATACATAATAAATACATGCTTGTCTGTCCTCCTCCATTTTTACTTTTAACTAAAACTATTTAACGGTTTAAAATGCGAAATATATATAGTAAACTACAGACAGTATTTATGTTTACTAATAACTTACATCAGTGGAATAGCTATAACAAAAAAATATATTTCATACGAGTGTGATTTTAAACAGCTCGGAACTAAACGTACCTGTAAGTTGCACTTTGAGGTTTCACTGGAGTTCGCGATACAGTGAAGAAAATTAAAAAAGTTTCACTTTTCATATTGTATTCGAAGTTAGTGATCGGTTGAAGCTTTACGAGGAAACAGGTGTTTGATAAAATATAACAATATAAAATTTTAATCTCTCTACATATTATAATATATTTATAGCATTATTGGTAATTGTTTTGAAGGAAAACTATATGTAATAACAACTAATTTACAAAATAAAATTACGATACCTATGGGCGGGACTTGAACTGGCATCCACAATGATTCATGGAATTGAATTTTTATTGTCTTTATGTGCAATAAAATTTGACCGAGCGCGTCGATATCTTTTCTACATGCAATAGTGGGACTCATGCGCATACATATTAGGAGACAATGTTATTAAAAAACTACAAATTTTTTAATAACATCATCATAATCTACTTAAACAATAAATGAAAAACGTAGCGTAGCTGTATCGACCTTGACATTAGGGACTTAATCCTTCTTCAGTCCCCCTTGACCACGGCTGATGCAAAGCATCCGTAACGTCGAGCTGTAGTTAATATAATTTTATAAATAATTTAACTAATACATTTCGCGTTTTAAACCGTTAAATGTGTTTTATTTAAATCTAAACTGGATTCGGCTATTCACAATATAATTATGCAAAAGGTATAACGTACCTTTTGCATAATTATATTATTTATATATACACTTTTGCTTTCGATCGTTTATGGAAATAATTCTTAACTTAAAATAATATTTTACAAGTTCCGCTAATAACGCGCCACATAGTGAATGAGATTCCGCGATCTTTAAAAGGTCTCTTGAATTATTATGGAAAGTGTCTGTCAAATTACCACGCCAGTTAATAATGCGTCGGAGAATTTATGAGTTTTTTACCAAGTCATAAGATGCCTCTTGATGTAGATATTTTTACTTTGAACGTTGAAATAAACGGGCGAAGCGGATGTAAATAAGTTAAGCAATAAGTAGGTATTGAAAAGAACGTTATTAAATTTACAGATTTTCAAAGAGTCTACTTAAATATAATTGTATAAAATGATAAGATTTTCTACATACAATCTGAAGTATACACGAGTAGTACAATTTTAAATAAAACACTTCTAACCGGTGAAAACAGAATGTATTTAACTTATTTACAATTTATGACTTA